TAACCTTAAAGGGTTAACAGCACGCACAGCACTACAACGGTCACAGAAAAGTTTGCGCTGTTATTATTCACTTACCTTTTCATATGTTTTCGGTGTGATTTTATCCCGCTATTTAAAAAACGACCGAATATATTTTAAATAAGAAGCTGTAATGTAGCTGTGGCGGGATGCATTTTGCTGTGGCGCCCCGCCACGGAAGAATGAATGTAGCGGAAAACATGAAAGTTACAATCAGATATACATTATTGTGTATATAAACATATTTAACCTGCAGTTTTATAGCATATAGGTGATGTTTGTCTACATGCAACATAATGCAAGCACATTTTTCCAAAGAACACGCAATATTTTATTCTTAAGAATATTTCATTTAATTATAGCCATTTTAACTATTTAATAATTAGGCACTGGAATCAAAATGTGAAATTGTATATATTCTAAACAAATAAATAATAATAATAAATGATAACCAAAAAGTGCAAGGTAAAAAGTAACAGCGGCTGGGATATCTACTACTATTTTCAGCTGTCAGGCACCCACAATGAAAAATACTACAGTTATTAATGGTAAATATTATATTGCTTTTTAACCATACTAACACTGACACCTCTAATAGAGATCGAGACGTTTACAATATGCTAAAATGTTGCTAGTATTGTTATTTATGGATATGGGATTTATTTAATTGGCTCTTCAGTGTTTGAACTAGTAGTAATGATTAGTAATGATTAAATCACACTGAACTGAGCTAAACTGAACTGAACTGAACTTAAACACTAAAACCTGAACCACACTGTTCCAGTTACTATGACCATTTATGTGAAGCTGCTTTGACACAATCTACATTGTAAAAGCGCTATACAAATAAAGCTGAATTGAATTGAATTGAATTTTACATCAACAAAAATGATAAATGTCATGTCCATGTCCGATAAGTCGATATATTATTGATATTGACTATTGTGACTTTGTGGGTTGGAACAACATGAGGTTGGGTAATTAAGAATTTAACAGAACTTACATTTTTGGGTGAACTTACCCTTTAATAGTATGAACCTGGCTTATGGATGTGCGAGAAAGCAAATATTAAGGATGAGGATGACAACTGAAATTTTGATTGTAACTGATGTTTGTAATTACAAAGAACTATTGCTATCAGATCACACTCGGTTAGTAGGTGGAGATTAGGTGATCTTTTGTGGCTGTTTGAATGTATTTAACAGCCGCACGAGCTTTCGACTATGAAAGTAATCCAATTAAATCTTCTAACAACTACCTCTACAAGTGGACAAGCTCAGTTTTGGATCTTGATTACAGCCATTTCCACCGCTTGTGGTCAGATTGATTAAAACATAGACTGACGTTAATGTCAGGTGGTACTGTAGTCAGCATCTATAGGTGGAAGTGTTTTCACACTGATACTGTTTCCTCTGAGTAGCTCCTTCAACTTTTTCTTGGCCTCATCAGAGCATGCTCCACTTGTGGTTGGCCTCTCCACTCTTGGCTCATTACTCTTCCTTTCCTTCACTCCTCCTCCTCCTCCTCCTCCTGCATGTCTCCACATTGGCCTCCGGCCGCTCCAGGCATGGCTTCCATTTTGATGTCAGCCGCAGGACTGGGAGTTCGCCTCATGACCGCCCCCTTCTCCCAGCGTGACTCCAGCATGCCCACCAAAGGCCAAGCCAGCTCCGTTAAGAGGGCAAAGAGACAGTCCAGGACAGGTAGTTAAGCACCGCCAAACAGCTCGACCGCCCGACCGAACCTGCCTTCCGCTGGTCTGCAGCTGCTGTCCTTTTTTGTTTAATTGCTGTTTTCCTCTCCATTCTACTTTCAGTTTATGTTTCCCCTATGGGTTTAGTGCTGTAGGTTTCTTCTGACATCCCAACATGTTTTTTTTTGTTTTTTTTTGCTGTTTTTTTTCCTCCCGCTTGCTTCAGTCGCCATGTTTTCACCCATTTCACGTTTATGCCCTCATGGTCACGCTGTCTTGCTTCCATCTTCCTGATCACATAATGAATGCACTATTGATGGTATTTGGCTTGACACCTGCCTGCTCACCTGCGGGACACCGCTGACTGATTTCTTTTGTGGAATAACAAGCCTTCCCTGGTCTGTTTTATATATTTTTTGTTCCTCTAACCCTACATAACCTGTTTTGTTGTTTTTAATGCCATTCACTTTAACTTCTTAATACAGAAGATGGATGTTAGGTTCAGACTGACACTCACAAGTGATTACTTTTTTTTTTTATTCTTTAATATCGGCATACTAAAAGATTCTAAAGACATTTTCTGTATTGGATTGTTGCTATGTTGTCTAATATCTTGAAAAACTAACATTTAAAGGGATTGTTCATCCAAAAATGAACAATTTCGTTTACACAGGGATCGTTCACTCCAAACTGTAGTTAATATATTGGTTCCAAACCTTTATTTTTTATTCTGTCGAACACAAAAGATGATGTTCTGAAGAAAGCTGAATAAAAGGTAAGCGTTGAGATCCATAATAGGAAAAACAAATACTATGGCAGTCCAGGGTTGCCAGCATTTTTTTTTTTTTAAATATATATTTTTGTGTTTAACAGAATAAAAAAAACTGGTTTGAAGCAAGTGAAAGGTGAGTAAATAAAGACAGAATTTTCAGTTTTTGGTGAACTGTCCTTTTAAGGTTTGTAATCTCAGTGTTGCCCGATTCACACGGGGCTTTGGCGACAACTCTTGATGGAGGGCTTGTCTGAAGATGGGGCTGGCGCGATCGTCATAGCAGCATCAGCCAATGATAGCCTGGGCTGGCGTATTTGCATAAAGCGATCTGATTAACTGACGCTTCTGTTGGTGCTTTAAAGGTTGAGAATTTCCCAACTTATACAGCAAGCAATGCTGCTGAAGCAGCACCGATGGATCCACAGTTCAGTTCGGCAATGCTTGACGTCACTCATTCAAAGTGAATGGGAATCGTTGATGCTGACGCCCCGTGTGAATGGGGCGTTATTGATCTGATTTCTGATTGGGTGAAGAATATTTTGTAAACTGGCTGATAAGTGTGTCCCCATTATTTGAATTGTACATTCATACACTGAATTACTGTGCTGCTAAAATACAACATAAACCTGACGTTGCAAAATATGGTCAAATTATCCTGGGTTATTACTGCACAATACTTTTGTCTGTTAGGAGGATAGACATTGACTCTTAAATTCTTGTTTTTCAATTTCCGGATAGAAACGTATCGAAACAGCATTTGCTGTTTTTTAATGATGTATTAAATGTATTGAGACGTCATTGAGAAGGCAAAATTAGTGACTGATTTTCTGAAACAAAAGCATAAACGATTTATATTGACTGCCACGCTTTCAGTAAAGCCTCAAAACAGAAAGAAAGTCACTTAAAATTCCAACTAACAGCACAGATGCTTTTCTCTTGTTCATATCTTTTGTACTGCTATGGGTCAGCATCACAGATATTAAGGACTAAAAAATGGAACCAATGTTGGATGACCCATGCAATAATTATTAAACCATAGTAATTGTTTAATCACCACAGCAGTTTACGTCAAACAGATCATACAAATATTGTATAGTTTGAACTGAATGGGTTGTAGTTATTGTGCAAATTCTGTTGTCTTGCAAAGTGTTTAAATGTAATAGTTGGAACTGCTGATGGATATATTGTGAGGTGGGGGGAAATCATTATTTCTGTGCTTTCTCAGGGAAAGGCAGCTTTTGGAAGATTGCATTTAAACATTGTGTAAAAACACTGATTCTTCCATCGTATAATAACTGTCATCGCAATCACTGCACAGGGACTTCGCATTTAGGCAGATAACTACAGGACAACACAAACAAACTGAGAATATTTAACATTAATATGTCAAAATCTAAATTGATATTCATAATAAGAAGGCCAGTGGTGTTCACGTTCCAAAATCCTGCATCCCTTCTGGTAAGAGGGGGAAAAGGAAACATTAAGACAAGTGGATGTGATGGGTTTATCTCGAACTTTTTTGGGGGGATAGTTCATTGAAACTGAAAATTGTCATCATTTACTCACCATTCTCATTCCAAACCTGTTTGAATTCCTTTTTTATTGATCACAAAAGAAGATATTTTGCAAAATGTTGGAAACCCACAGCCTTTGACATCCATATTAGAAAAAAAAAAACACTATGGAAGTCCATAGCTAGCAAGATTTTTTTTAGTATATATTCTTTTGTGTTTAACAGATTCTTTGTGAGGTGAACTGTCCCTTTAAGATGTTTACATAATGTTTATGATAATACACACATATGCATTTGTTAAAACAAACTGGTTCAGGAACAGCTCGTTCTAGACGAACATAATTATATTAGGCGGTAGGTTGTTATTCTTTTAAAACACAATGGGAAAACGATGCCATATCATGAAATAAGTTTTCTCTAGAGAATCACATTTTCATAATGTATTTGCTGTATTATAAACCATAACAGCATTTTCACTTAGCTCAACTTCAGGTAGTTGGATACAATGTTGATACAATAGAGCTTGTTTTTAAGTTAATATAATTTCCAGTGCCTGGATAATGCACAGTCAGAATTTAGGAGAATAGTTATTATATTTGTGTTTAAAAAGTAAAACACTGATTTTGAGAACACTGATTTGATGTTAAATAGGCTATGATATTGATTGACACCTGTAAATATTGTGCAATGTACTGTTAATTTTAAAAATAAAACCCATCTTCATTTGGCTTTTCCACTATTCATTGATGCTTGTTATTATTTATATAGATTTACCACAAAGGAGAGTATCATTTTTGAGAGCATTTGATAGGCTGAAAAACTGTGTTGTATGTGAACTGTTAATAAAAGTGTAGTTTACAGTCAGGCATTGTCACAAAAGCCACAAAACTCCAATCACAATCAAATTCTTGTGAAATCTTCAAGGAAATGTTATCTTTATCTTGCCACAACTGATTTTAAGTGCCACTCATACAGGTCATGATGTGTCTTATGTATGTCCTCAGCCCCCGCTCAGAAACCAGAGGAAGTCATTAAGAAATACATGGAGGAAGTGCCTGTGGTCCCAGATGAGGTAAAACTGAAGCTCTCACTACGGTTACTTTTATGTGTCATGTTCAAGCCTACATGTTTGAATTTCACAGGTCATATTTCACCACAAATTGAGGGGAAAAAAGCAGTTTGCTTGAAAATTATGTATATTTTACAGTCATTTTTAAGAAACAGTCCAAATAAATCTTTAGTTTAAACAAAAAACATTTAAATGACCTCATAACTTACTCACTCTCAAGGCATCCTATTTGTGTATGACTTTCTTCTGTCAGATGAACACATTTGGAGTAGTTTTACATTTAATCTTCCATCCTGTATAATGATGTTGGTGAGTGTCAGTCCCACTTTATATTGTCCATAATACCTGTGAACTTACATGGCAACTAGATGTGTAAGTAGTATGTAACTACAGTGTATGTACACACTGGTACATAGTTTTTACTTGTGTGAGACTGGTGTAACTACACACATAACAACACACTGAAAAGCATGTGTTAGTTCAAATGTGTAACAGGACATTAACAACACAATCTTTGGTAAACTACAACTTTAATGTGAATTACTGATGTGATTCTACAATTTACCTTAAAACAACATAAACATACCGCATTTATATATTTCTATCTACATGTATACTTTTTTCGGAAAGGTTTACTGTTGTTAAACAGTTGCACAAAGGCTTAGATTTATATATGGCAGTAATTTGTGACCATTTTACACTTTATATTGAGAGGACAGTTCCTGAGGATTTACCCTGTGATTACACTGGTATCACAAGGTGAAACCTTCTAATGGAGCGTTAGTTCTTTCATTCTTATTCTAATACAGTGTTCAGAAGTACATGGTATGCAAACAGGTGTGGTAGTGGGAAAACACCTGCAAGTACATATTGTTGTTACACAAGGCACTTATGTAATTCTTGTTACAGATGTGTACTTTTTTGTGTTGTTACCTATGTCTAGTTACACATAATATTGTTTGTTGTTACATGGGTGTAGTTACACTAGTATTACACAAGTAAATACTATTTACTAGTGTGTACATACACTGTAGTTACATACTATTTATACATCTAATTACCATGTCAGTTCACAGGTATAAGTGACTATAAAGTGGGACCCAATTTATTTTTTATTTTAAAATCTTAAACTCGAGTTTCAGTGGCTGCCAAATGCTCCTTCTACACAACTCCTTCTAGACAGCTTGGCTAATCTCGATGTTTAACGAATGATGTAAGACACATTTGTAACAGAAGAGTAAGAGTAATATACTTTAGGGTTGTCACAATACTGGAATTGACGTCTAACTCGACATTACCATGCTGTTAGATGCATTCTTATTGGAGGTTCTGGAACCACTTACCACACAGTTTGTTTACCACAGAAGATGACTAACAAGAAAACGAGCTGGTTCGGCGTTACAGTATAAAGTTATACAGTATATAAGGGTTATCACGATACTGGAATTCGGTACCAATCGATACTGAAATTTGAAAATCGTCTGTGCAGGTCATCACTTCACCAAACTCACCACAATTTACTGAGTGTAAACATGGATACAGGGACACTGGAGCGTTTCAAAGTCATGTCGATGTCAGCTGATTTGTTTTTAAGCTGGCATATGAGCGATCTGCTGATGAATCACGGGCTTTTTAAAATGCTCCAGTGTCCCTGTATCTATAGTTACACTCAGTAAACAGCGGTGAGTTTAGTGAACTAATGAACTTCATGCGCAATTAAAGTTTTTTCTGTTGACCCGAACACAATGCAAATCAGAGCTGTTTGAGAACGTGCTCAAATGTTAGCGGGAAATGGATTTTTTTAAGATTTCAATATCGATTGGTACCGAATTCCAGTATCGTGATAACCCTAATATACTGTATAACTTCGTACTGTAACATCAAGCCAGCTAGTTTTCTTGTTAGTCATCTTCTGTGGTAAACAAACTGTGTGGTAAGTGGTTCCACAACTTCCAATAAGAATGCATCTAACAGCATAGTTATCCGTCAAGTCAGAGGTCAGCCAAAAAGTGGTCTAGAATGCGCAATTAAATAAACGCATAAGAAAACGTATGCGCTTGTTGAAGCTTAAAAAAAGATGCCACTACCCAACACATTTATACAATATGGAATAGCAAGTATACAATTTAAGGGTGCTTTCACACCTGTGAATCGATTCAGTTGTTCCGAAACAGAGATTACAATTGTCGCTTGGATCGAATTGCTTTCTCACTGCAATTGAACCGCTCCAGGGTTCGTTTCAATCGAGCCGAGACCACCTCATTCAAGCGATCTCGGAGCGATTACTTTGGCGTAGAAAAGAGCGCGATGGCCTGTTCACATATGCCAAACGAACCGCGCTAACTGGGCAAACGAGACACGTTCCAAAACAAAAGTGTAGGTGTGAAAGCACCCTAAAACTACTCCGACTGCATTCATCTGATAGAAGAAAGTCATAAACGCCAAAGTTGGCTTGTGGGTAAGTAAATTCTGAGGTGATTTTAATTTTTGGGGTCAATTGTTTCTTTAAGGTCATTAAAAAAGACTCCGATTTCATGACCTATGCATATTTGACATTCACCCATATGTTTAAAGTTCTTTTAGACACATTAGCCCTGCTCCTGTGCAGTGCCTGACATCTGGCTGTGTGCTTTCAGGACTGTATTATCTGTATGGAGCGGCTGTCCTGTCCATCTGGTTATGAGGTCCCAGCTGAGTGCTCTCAGTCTCTTCAGCCCAGCACTGTGGGCAAGCTCACCAAATGTGCTCACACCTTCCACATGCTCTGTATGCTGGCCATGTACAACAATGGAACCAAGGTATGCAGTACATTACTAACACTTCTTGCTATCACGTAATCAGATAAATTATTTTAGTTGTGTACAGTTATTGGTTGCTTGTTACTCATATAGTTTTGAATGGGGAAAAGTGTATTGGGTAATATGGGGAATGAAGCATCACTTTCAAGTGCAGGAGCCAATCATCGATCGAGATAGACTGACAATTCTCTTGGGTAGGGGCTTAAATTAGATTAGCAAAGTTTCTGTAATTCTAATTTATAGAAATCAAACTAAAGAGACAGTTGTTGTTTAATTTTACTGGTAATTTCTAATATAAAATTTAATCGTAAGCTTGGCAGGTAATTTTATAGAATTTGATGTTTCTTTGTTCAGACAGAATACCCGAGCATACTGCCCAAGAAGCGTTTCAAAGTTGGCCGCCAAGTGAAATGACTTGCCCTGGTTGTGTTTTATTTTGATGGTCCCCAAGGGTATCCTATTGACTTAAAGTCTCTTTAAGGCAAGTCATTTCACTCGGCGGCCATGTTTGATACATTTGTCAAGCTTACAAATAAACTTCATGTTTGGAAGCACTAGTGACATTTTATAACAACAGGATCTCAGATTTCATTTCTCACTTAATATCTTGTTAGAATCATGCCAATAAACAGTTAAATTTCAGGATTTCGAGCTTGCGCGCATTTCCACTCAAATAGAACGAGATCACGACACCAACCTCCTTTATGGCTGTTTCTAGAAGACGCAATAATCGTGTCAATTATGGAATGGAACTACCATAAGAGTCAATAACTTGCCTGTAACATGTTATCATCCTCTGAATTTGGTTGCGTTTAATTGCGCTGATTTTCTGAATTAATTTCCAGCGTATTCCTGACGGCAGATCTTTCACCAAAATGACAGCATCATCTTTGTTTACAAGTTTGTGGGCGTTTAAGAGTTTGTCACAATGTGATTTGCGTTTAAATGGCTGAAGTGGGAATTCAGAGGTCACACTGGACAAACTGTACCTCAACGTTTGTTTAATACAAATTACAAAACAAGAGAGTATTTGTTTTCAAGTGTAGTTTGTTTGTTTAAGAAGAGAGCTTTCAAGCTTTATGTAGGTGGATGTTTGTGAAGCAAGTATTTGCTAGATTCTAGCATGTTTGTCGACCCTACTTGATTCATAGCAATTGAACAGCAGAAACTGTCGTAAAAACACACCTGGACTCAGCCCTTCCACGGATAATCATCAGTCTATACCAATCAATCATTGGCTCTTTTACTAGAAGGCGGGGCTTCCTTTGATAGAGCAGCCATATTGAACATTACACATTTCCCCATTCAAAACTATTCAAGTGACTTATGTATTCTATAGTCTTCAATTGACTATATGTGAATTTGCAACTGGATGCCAACTACTGTAACTCTCATTAGATCAAAACTTGGCTGTTGGGTTGCATAAATATTTTAGAATAGTGCTAATAGTGCAAAATGGATTTGAAATAAACAATGACGAAATCTTGGTTTTACGTGAAGTATTCTTTTAAGATAATTCCAATGAGGCGAGAATTTATTTTGAAAAAAGTTTATTACCCTAAATAATTATTTGATTAAAATACAGTAAAACAGGAATATTGTGAAGTATCACTATAATTTTAAATTATTATTCTTTATTTAAATGTAAGTGTAGTTTCTGTTATGTTGAAATTAAAATTTCAGCCTTTATTCAAGTGTCAAATCATTCTTCACTCTAATATTCGGATTTGCTTGGAAACAAGTGCTGCTTAATATTTTAGAGGAAAACATTTCATTGTTTTTCTGTTTTGTAATTTTAACGATCACTTTTAATCAATTTACTATATCCGTTCTTCTTAAATACAAGTACATTTTATTTTTATGTTATTGTCCCCAAACATTTGAAAATGCATCTCTTACTGGATTTTCATCAACAGAGGCAAAAAAAATCCTTAAAATACTTTAATATTTTCTAGCTATGCACCAAGGTTAAAATTCTGGGCTGAAATCTAAAGTTCAGGATGCACTTGGAGAAAAATCAAAACTGATGAAAAGGGCTCTTTTTTTTTGTTTTTTGTTATGCAATTTTTTAATATTGTAAGTAGCTAATTGCACATCTCCTCACATAAGATCCTAATATAGCAAACATTTCATTAAGTGGTCTAAATATATTTCTATATTGTGTGGAAATGTCCATCCAATCAAAATGGTTCAGCCCAAACATTACGATAATCTTTCCAACCCTCCTGTCAAAATATGTATTTTGAAATTTGTATTAAAATCTATTATATATCTATTAATATATTTAAAATATAAAATCCATAGTATCACCCAGCCACAGAATTCACTGATATTTAAACTGATGTAATGTATCCACGAAAATAATAATTACACAATTAATCTTAATAATCCAAAAAAAAAAAATATATATAGAGCAAAACCCTGGTTAACAGAACTGAAACAGGAAGTTATGTACATCTCTAATATTTTCACATGATCTATTTCTTCTACAGCCATGAATTGTTCTCATTTTCTCCAATTTGTCACATGTTGTCACTATATAGGATGGGAGTTTGCAGTGTCCCTCATGTAAGACAATCTACGGTGAGAAGACAGGCACTCAACCAAAGGGCAAGATGGAGATCTACAGTATTCCTCAGTCTTTGCCTGGACACCCAGACTGCGGCACGATACAAATCATTTACAACATCCCGCCAGGAATACAGGTCTGACTCTGCAAGCTGATGTAATAATGTATTTACTAGTTCTGTCAATGGATTAAAAAAAGTAACTAATTAATCGCACACCCGAAATTACTGAAACTGTCCATCTAAAAGTCCCTCCTTGGTCTTATTCATATTTATTTGCACATTGAACACACGTCGGCCACAACAGAAAAAAAACTACTACCAGGTTAATTGCGAAACACGTTAAATATTTCAAATTTAATCACGTGTTAACGTGCTATTTTGGACAGCACTAGGATTTACACCATGATTCAAGTGCATTCCTGAAGGACTCATAATATTGCTAAAAGAAACAGTATTTGATGTGGCAATGTGTTTGTGTGGTTAATATTTTAAAAAACTTAACGTCAAATTCAAATACCGTACCATACCATACATTATAGTTGCTCACAGCAATTTTTTAAAAGTTCATTGTTCTGAAAAGATTGGCCAGCCATCCGGTGCATTGTAATTGGCTGAAAATCTCAAGCATGTGTTGGAAATTTTACTTGCTTCAGGTGGCAATGGCAATAATACTACAGTGAGAATGCATGTTACACACACTGAGTGACGTAATTTAGGAAAGTGTGAAATCTCAACTTTTAATTTTTACGTATGATGCATGACATAAGATTAGGCATGGGTACCAAAACTCGGTACTTTATCGGTACCGGTGCTAAATTATAAAAAACAGAAGTATCGATAAGCTCTGGCGTTAACGCTTCTGCTATCAGTACTCAAGAATTATTGCATACAATTGCGTTACATGCAGTAGCATAATTTAACTGACCAACCTTTTCTAATTTGCAATATTTGATATTCGTCAGCACAGTTGGCAATTGTTCACGTGACAAATGTTTGTATTGTTCCACCCAATTGACCCTTCGCTAAGTCACACCCGAAAACCACCACATACCAATCGTAGGCTTAGCAACCGTAGCTACGCGCAGGAGGTCTGTCAAGCTTTCAAGCGAGGTAAACAAGCCGAAGTGTTGTGCATATGGATTGTGCAAATCTGATACCCGGTATCCTAAAAGTTTTGATGGGGTGGTGATTTTTTTTTTCTTTCCGTTTTTAAAACCTAAAACCCAAGGGGAGAAGTACCTGCGTGGATCAAGCTCTGTGAGGGGCGCTAAAAGAGCAGGGTTAAGTTGGTTTTGTTTTCGATATTCCTGACACATTCAGTGACATAAGGCAATAACTCGCACACCTCTTAATGTAAAACGATCTAAACTGTGTTTCTTACAAAAATAATAAATACAATAATAAATAAATAATAAATACAAAGCAGGTTATGTTTTCCAGCTGTCTTTTACTTTTTTTCACTCAATATCCTGAGCACTGCTCCGTTTAAGAGCCCTCGCAATAGTAGTCATACTAATACCAATCATATTTCCATCCGTTTCAAGCTACGAATATTTGAAATTACATATTAACAGAACAAAACAGAGATGTGATCACAAACTGAGCACTTATGCTCAATATACTTCACCCGCAGCTGTTTTTCAGTCATTTATATCCCTCATGTCCATGTCAGAGCTACAATTCACCGATGTTTTCGTCCGTCTTTTAGAGATTTAGTCATTGGTGACAATGATATAGCAGGTTAGTGTCTGCTTTTATATTTGGTGTCAGATTAAGATTTGCTGGTAGGGAAAATGTATTTGTTAATTTCTGCTATTTAGACTTTTATTTGCAATTCAATTTATTTATTTATTTCTCTTAACTGCAAATTAGAATAGAAACTGTATAAAGAGCACACAAACACACTGACAGTTATAGGTACTGTACATTGTTATGGGTAAATATTCAGCACAAATTCATCAATTTCATTTTCTGGCTGTTCTTTCTATGAATGAATAAGGAAGCACTGTCCATGAGTGTGTCCTTGTCGGTTAGTAATGCTATATTTCATTGCACAACAATAATCTATCAGGCTTTTTGGCTAAAAAGAGAAATCATGGTTAATTTGTTATTATTAGATTATTTTTAAATTTCACCTCTTCTGCTGTGCATGAGCTCAGCTGTTGAAAGGTCAGTGTATGAGACTGCTAGGCTAACCTAGCATCAATTTTGATTAAATTATTTTCTAATCGGTTGCCTATTATGGGGTGCATATACTCCTGTAATGCATACTGCAGTCCTTTTTTTCTGGCTTTCTTGGATATCTCACCTGTTCGCCAAAAATGACTAATTATATCCCTGGGAATGTCTGACAAAAGCATATACATATTGTTAAAGTTGTGCCTGACATGGAAGGTTGACAGGCATAGCAACAGTAACTAAAGAGTGCGGGGCTTAGCGAAGGATTAATAGCAATACGGCAAGCACATCAAGTATTAAATAAAGCCTTAATTTGTTTGTTTGTTTGTTTTACAAAAAGTACTGATAAAAGAACCGTTAAAGTACCAAACTGATAAGTCATTTTGATAAAAGTAGTAGTACCGTTAAAACCTTAACACACCCATTTATGACCTTCTGGGTATTTAGAATGGAAAATTTGTAACCCTAACCCAATTCATTCTGAGTATTTAAGACACAGGAGGCTGATTCCCTTTAAAATCTATTAATGTATTGTATCATAAATGCACTTATCAGCTATAAACTGTAACCACTCGCACTACAAATAAAGATTAAAGTCATAAATGGAAATGTTTTTTTTGCTGCAGCTCAGTGATATTCTGTCACTTACCGATGATCTTGTTCATTTATTTAATCTGCTTTCTCTGCATCTGTACTCGCTCCTCTAGTTCCACTTTAGCACTGGAGACATAATATTATGAAATGAATATTTTAGGCTTCTCAGACACACAAAAAGCATTCATAAAGGTATCCACATGATGAGTGTTTATAAGATGTTTTTCAAAAGATATTATAATAAAGCAGTCTGCTTTTTTTGTGGAGATTTCTATTGGTTTAAATTGGCGAAATGCAACTCGCTGTGACGTAGATTCAAAATCTCTAGACATGTCTCACAGGAACCACTTACCGTACATTATGTTTAACATAGTCAAGTTATATGTCAAGTCAGAAATATAAACAAGCTATCTAGAATGTGCATTTGCTGGAAATCTTTGATGTAAGTATATCATTTAAAAACTATATATATATATATATATATATATATATAAAAACAGTTATCTGCTAATACATTCAGTAACCCCCTAGCAATGAGTCAATCTTACAATGGATTTATGCTCTTTTAAAATGGAAGAACCAGGAAAAATTGTTAAACTGCTCAGAATGTGTTTGTCTGGCATCAGACAGTCATAACAGGGTGTCTACCAGGTCTTAAAAAGTGTTAATAGTTGATTAAACTATTTAGAGAAATTTAAGGCCTTTAAAAATCTCGAATGGTGTTTTACAAGATATTACATGTTGTATTTGTAAATTTTTAATTATACAATGTGTAGTTGTATGCCATTTAACTAATTTGCCAAATGTTAGGATTCTTATGAAGTTGATGATAAAGTTGTGCTAGATTTGGTGGACACGCTGCCTAGCTTACAGGCAAAGAAACATCATTATTCATGCTGTTGTTTAGTCACCACCTACTGGTTGTTAATCAGTTTGTCTATGTTTTAGTTTTGTGCACTTTTGAGTAGCATAATTTCACAAAAGCTGATTGTTTTTACTCATTATTATGTTTGGTTGATCCTATCCATTTTACATGACTAACCGCCCACACTAATTCAATTCAATTCAATTCAGCTTTATTTGTATAGCGCTTTTACAATGTAGATTGTGTCAAAGCAGCTTCACATAAATGGTCATAGTAACTGGAACAGTGTGGTTCAGGTTTTAGTGTTTAAGTTCAGTTCAGTTCAGTTTAGCTCAGTTCAGTGTGATTTAATTAATGTATGTTGAATCTTTCTGTGGATCATGCTGAAAGTGCAACGGTTGCCTCTAATTTTAAATCACTTCATATAGTTCAGCCTGTGATAAAGCAGATACAAACTTTATAGTCAAGCACATTTTTTTATATGTTTCTGATTTCTTACATTCTACATTCTTAAATATTTTTATAAAAAAGCACAAATTGGTTTAGGGGTCAGCTAATAAGCTAGTAAACTTGCAGTTGGTCAAGAAAAATCATATTAATACATTTTAAGACCTCATCTTAGCCAATGCCAACTCTCTGATTACTGTATATTGCATGTGATTTGGGTAGTTTTCATTTTTATGGGGACTTCCCCTTTAAGAATATCTCCTTAGATTTGAAACTTTAGACTGAGGCTTCACAGATCTCATATATGCATGAACATCTTTAACAATAACCTTTTTAGAAAGGTGTGTAAACAAGCTGAAAGAAGTGCTAGAGGTCGATATGAACCAGCCAAATGTTTTCATCCAGCAGGCTGACTTGAGTGTTTGTTGTAGTCATAACCGACTCATTCCAGTCTGTGAAAAATGCTTTTGTCCTTGCCTCGGCTGCTTTTAGTGCTCATCATCTTAATGCACTTTTTGACTGCAGGGTCCTGAACACCCAAACCCGGGACAGCCGTACACATGCAGAGGATTCCCTCGCTTCTGTTTCCTTCCCGACAATGACAAAGGCAGAAAGGTAATGGAGGGAATTGACCCACTTCAAATCAAGATTCATGCTATGCTTGTTTGTCACAATATTGAATCACTAGCCACTTTCACACATTAAACCTGTTCAATTACCGTTCAGTTCTCGAATCAACACTTCCAATGCCGTGCCTTGCTCAAACAAGCAATTGTTTTCTGTGCTACCATTCACACACAGACACCAAAATGCCATTAAATGCCATTGAAAAGTACAGCAGGGTAATCAACTAGGTTCATTATAGAGCCGGGGATGGGAATATTTAGTGCTCATAATTTTGTTGCAGCTTAAAATTTTGATATATATGTAATGGAGGGCATTTAGCGAAGTGCTATGCAGGTAACCCTCACTCCCCTCATAGATATATACACTAGATAATGCATTTGGACTGCTCTCAGGACAAAAGTCATTTTTGTATGTCACAAACTTTTGTGCTGAACAAGTGACGTTACTGTTTGTGAAGTAACATTATTGATGATAATACCTACATGCACTGACCATAAGGCAAAGTTGCACCAACTTGCACTGAATTTTAGGCTTATCCTAGTTCTTTTGTTCAATAAAATCAGCAAATAAAGTGAATAAAATAAGACAACATGACAATAATGCCAGAAACTGGTATTATTGCCGGCTAAATAAAGTAATGGCTACTCATAGATGTATGTATAAATGTCTATATATCTTTGACTCTGGATGGCCTGTCCTCTACTGCACTTTGATCCCACATTCATTTCAATTGAGCACTACTCTGTACTAAGATGACCTCTAAAGGTGCTCTAGCGACAGACGCTAGAGGCCATGGTCTTTGGCATCTTTGTTAGAGCAACAAACGGCCATGCAAAGAATTGCTGGTTTGATCACAGCTCAGAGCGGGTTGGATGCAGTAGGACTGGTGGGTTACACTTGGGGGCTTGTCCGGAATGGGAGTGAGGTTTAGCGGGGTTAGTGTAAAATAGGCCAGCCAGCGAAGTGTTGTGCAGGTAAACCTCATTCCTCTGGCCTTTAAAGATGCTCTAGCGTCAGACGCATAAGGCCATGGTCTTTTCTGCATCTTTGTTAGAGCAACCGACTCCCATGCAAATAATTGTTGGTTTGATCCCAGCTCAGAGCGGGTGCAGTAGAACCGGTGGGTTTCATATATATTTTAATTTAAAGATGCAGCTTAATTTGAAAATTTCACCTGTAAAAAGTTTCATTGTCCACTGTCAATAGTGTGACTAATAATATATGATGCGCAAAGGAAACCAATCAGTTTTCAGTTGTACGCTGTGAGGATGGAAAAAAAAAATGTAATAAAAGGGTCACACTTTACAATAAGGTTCATTAGTTAATGTTAAGTAATGCATTTACTAACATGAACAAACATTGAACAATACATTTACTACAGTATTTATTCATGTTAATAAACGTTAGTTAATGAAAATACAGTTGTTCATTGTTAGTTCATGTTAACTCATGGTGCATTAACTAATGTTAACAAGCATGGACTTGAATGTTAATAATAATGCATAAGCAATACAAGTGCTGTACAAGTGTAGTTCATAATTAGTTCATGTTAGTAAATGCATTAACTTATGATCCTTATTGTAAAGTGTTACCAATAAAAGACATTTCTAGGTATTTAAATTTATGATCAGTTAAATTTTTGTATTGATTTAGGCACACACATGTATGTATGTATGTATGTATGCATGTACGTACAGTAAGTATGTATATATGTATGTATGTATGTATGTATGTATGTATGTATTTGTATGTATGTATGTATGTATGTATGTATGTATGTATGTATGTATGTATGTACGTACGTACGTACAGTATGTATGTATGTATGTATGTATGTATGTATGCATGTACGTACAGTAAGTATGTATATATGTATGTATGTATGTATGTATGTATGTATGTATGTATGTATGTATGTATGTATGTATGTATGTATGTATGTATGTATGTATGTACGTACGTACAGTATGTATGTATGTATGTATGCATGTACGTACAGTAAGTATGTATATATGTATGTATGTATGTATTTGTATGTATGTATGTATGTATGTATGTATGTACAAATGTACAGTATGTATGTATGTATGTATACACACACACACACACACACACACATATATATATATATATATATATATATATATATATATATATATATATATATATAATTTTACATTTTTTTGCATGTAACTGATATCCCTTTATCTATATTTCATTGAATGTCGACATATTTAAGGTTCAGAGGTTTATACAGACCTGAAATTTATAGATATAATGGTTTGTGTTACAAACACTTATCTAGCTGATATGGGCTTGGAATGGAAAAAAAAAAAAAAACTATTCAGCTTTTGGTGTAGAAGGTCAACAAATTAAATGGTGTTTATAATTATACAAGAAACAAAGATACAATAAACACAGACAGGCACAACTTTACTGATTATAATTTTCAACTCATTCTCAAGTCATTTTTGCCATTTTCAACAAAACCCTATCTGCGTTTACCTGTTTAAAAACATTTATTGCTCATCATTTTTGCCTTTAAGTAATAAATAGTTTTGAGATTCTAAAAGTGACACCAATAATAAGGTAAACCATATGAATAAAGCAGTTTAATGCATGTTTTCTGAACAGATGTTATGGTTTTAATGACTAAGTGACGTTTGAAAATGTTAGACATTCAGTGATGAAAGAATATTACAAATTGCTGTGTTATTTTATTTTCTTATTTTTGTGGTGAACTACTCTCTATTTAAGTTTTAAAGGTCTTAAAATATGTACATTAGCAAAGTGGTCTGTTGTGGTTGTTCAGCCATGTTGTATCATTCCCTTCATAAGCTTTGGTTCAAGGTCTTACACCATAGCATCCTTCCCTTCAATATACTCAAACCTTTAAAACAATGTTTTTAAGTACATTTATAAACTTGTTTATGAACTTTTATCAACTTTCAATTTCCACAGAATGTAATTTCTTGTTTTTGTAACCTCTATCGAAGTTCATTATAAAGGGTTAGATCACAGCCTGAACCCTGGAGCTTCTGGAGTTTTTAACAACATTCCAAGAAAAATGAATCCCTATTCACTGCAGCAGTGTAACAAAAGAAATGTAGCATATATTGGCTCCCGGCCCAGGTCTTGCTCAGCATTAATGGTTTATGTTGATCTTTGTGCAGGTTTGTGTTTCTCTCAGTGAGAGCAAACAGTGTTTACTTTAAAGGGTTCGCTCACCCAAAAATGAAAATGTCGTTATTTATTATTCAACGTACTCTTCATTCCGATGCACTGAGACATCTGTTCATCTTCGTTACACAAATTAAGATATTTTAGATTAAATTTTGATAAAAAAAAAACATAAATTAGCCCATGACTTGGCGATCAGCAGGAAATAGTAATGTTTTCCCCAGCAGGGTGGCGTTCCCCTAATGGTGTGATGACACATCAAAACTATCAATGGAGGACCAAAGAGCTCTCAGATTTCATCCAAAACAGTGTTTCTCAACCACGTTCTTGGAGGATCACCAACACTGCATGTTTTTTTATGTCTCCTTTGTCTGTCGCACCCATTACTGGTCTTTTAGTCTCTGCTAATGAGCTGATGATCTGAATCAGGTGTGTTTGGTTAGAGAGACATGGAAAATGCGCAGAGCCGGTGGTCCTCCAGGAACGTGGTTGAGAAACACTGGTCTAAAATATTTCAATTTGTGTTGTGAAGATGAAGGAAGCTCTCAGGGGATTAAAATAACATCAATAACAGAATTGTCTTTGTTGGGTGAACTAACTCCTTAAACTGAGGCTGTTTATTACGTTCATGTTTACCATCTGCAGGTGCTGGAGCTGCTGAAAGTAGCATGGACGCGCCGTCTCATCTTCACCGTGGGCACTTCCAGCACCACAGGCGAGCCCGACACCGTCATATGGAACGAGATCCACCACAAGACTGAGATGATGTCCAATGTGTCTGGCCACGGGTATCCCGACCCAAACTACCTGGACAATGTGCTCTCAGAACTGGCATCGCAGGGCGTAACCGAAGACTGCCTCAAACGAGACGCTCAAGGTTCTGCCATGTGAATAACCGGCTACGGTAGATCTAACTTGACGAAAAGGGAAGAAAACAAAACTAGAGTGTCCGCTGTTCACCAAGAGATTTGGATGTTGATGCCAACGCATCCATTTCCACGCGTACGGCCGAGTCTAGAATATTAACGCACATGTGGGCTTCGTGGTCATCTTTAGTTTCAGCGTATTGTGAGGCAGCTACTGACGGTTCTGCAGGAACGACTCGGGGTTTAATGACCTCTATCGCCAGTTTAGGCATTCATCTCAATATACAGAGCTGTGACGTCCTTCCTCAAATACTACATTACAGTAGAGCAGAGATCATTGTACTGTTGCTGGGAATCAAGCTGACACTATTTTGTTAAAGGGAAAGCTCAACCGCATATGACATTAGCTTTTTTAAAAGCTGTTGGCCATCCAAGATTTTTTTGGGGTTTAATAGAACATTTAATGACTATTTTTTAGCTAAAATTTCAATGCATGTACAGGCAAAACAAAAGGACGCTTGCTCTTGTTGCTACATTGAGGTCTTATGAAAAGAAATTATGAAATTGAATATTAATTACTACATTATTACCTATTATCCAGAGCCGAATGGTTCCCAAAGATCAAGAGAACAATGGATTATGAAATTTGGTTAAGCAAAATGTAAAAATTTTTAAAGAATACTTTTAATGAAGGCTCGTTTTACAGGTTAGTTTATAGGCTTTTAATAGACTTATTTTACAAATTTTAATAGGCTCATTTTACAAATTTTTAATTGCCTTACTTTACAAATCACCTATTGGTAAACTTTTCAGTTTTTGAATCCAATTGAACTAATCTCCAGGTCTGTTGAAAGCTTAACTTAATGTTTAAGTTTAGCTTAGCACAGTTTATTGAATCGGATTAGACCATTAGCATCTTGCTCAAAAAAATTACCAAAATTAGCAAAAAAAAGTTTTGATAGTTTTGCTATTTAAAGCTTGAAAGTTCTGTAGTTTTTATTTAAGTGCTGCATAATATTATTGTGCCTGTCGCAGCCATGGTACGGCATCAAAGTTCTTTAATTATTATTCAAGGATGAGATTGTAGAAATATCATATAGCCATATTTAATTTTTCCATCACTCTTAGTACACAATGTAGCCAGAGAATAGTCAAGCTGTAAATAGGAAAATTAATGAAAATGTCTTTTGAAAATTTTGAGATGCTAATGGTCTAATCCGATTCAGTTAATTATGCTAAGCTAAGCTAAATGTGCTCTCGCCAGACCCCGGCAATCGACTGGATGGATTAAAATATGGTAAAACTCTATGGTACTTTTAAAAGTAAAAGGGGAGTGTTTCTTTAATGTTTAATAGAAGTCATTATGCAACAGGGCGTTTAGACTCTAGTAATATTATGCTATAAATAATGTTCAGTTTCTTTCACAGGCCAGTCAGTTTGCTTTACAAGACCTCTTGTATCTCCAGGAGCCATATGTATTCATTTTGTTTTGTCTGTAAGTTTACTTTTATTTTATTTTACACTCCCAAAGTGCTGATATTTTTTGACATGCATCATATGACTCATCAAGGACCACTGGAAAAAACATCATAGATGATAAGAGGGTGAGTAAATTAACAGTACATTTTAATTTTGGATGAACTATCCCTTTTAAAAGCAGTAATATACAAAAACATAAAATTGCACATCAGTGCAAATCATAAATCTTTACTAGTGTTGTAAAACGTACCGCTTCAGAAATAAAAGGCACTTTTACAGAATCTGCAGCTAATTTAGTTCATATTTAAATTTTTTTTTTTTTCAGATGTCAGATTTGGTGATTTCTCACTTGCTGCTATTCTTTTAATTAATAAACATAAGGGACTTGTTTGTTTTCATTGATTCCACAAAATATTGCAACTTTGAATTTACGTTTATTTTATCGACTTAAAAATCCAAGCTTGGCAATACTGCTAGTGCTGGTTTTATTCATAAGTACATCAAGTAAATCAGTGCTGATTTTATTACGAACGGGACCTTGAAAGTACACGTAAAAAATGCAGTCTCGCAGCGTTATTATTGAGTTGCAGTATTACATTGTGCCACAGAGACAATCAGCAGTGTTTGATAAAATTACAGTTCATTACCACACAGCGAGTGTGGAAACATCCATTCATTCCTTCATCTCATATTCCATGGTATGGGATCTTTGGTTTTACAATGTATGCAACTGTATATATAAATATATATTCAACTTCTAATCAGCAATAAACACTACTCCATTTAACAGCACCTCTTTGTTTCTGTTACTTGTTAATAAGTATACATACTGTAAAAAAAAATCAGTTTTCTAATGTTTTTTTCCCCGGCAGCTGGGAAATTTAATTTCAGTTAAATTTCTGTCATTTAACGTCTGTTATTTTACGGTAAATTTCTGTTATTTAACGGCTGCTATTTTACGGTAAATATCTGTAATTTAACATCTGCTATTTTGTAGTAAATTTCTGTAATTTAACGTATGCTATTTTACATTAAATTTCTGTTATTTAACAGCTGTTATTTTACGGTAAATTTCAGTAATTTAACGTATGCTATTTTACAGTAAATTTCTGTCATTTAGCAGCTGTTATTTTACGGTAAATTTCTGTCATTTAACGGCTGCTATTTTACGGTAAATATCTGTAATTTAACATCTGCTATTTTGTAGTAAATTTCTGTAATTTAACGTATGCTATTTTACATTAAATTTCTGTTATTTAACAGCTGTTATTTTACGGTAAATTTCAGTAATTTAACGTATGCTATTTTACAGTAAATTTCTGTCATTTAGCAGCTGTTATTTTACGGTAAATTTCTGTCATTTAACGGCTGCTATTTTACGGTAAATATCTGTAATTTAACATCTGCTATTTTGTAGTAAATTTCTGAAATTTAACGTATGCTATTTTAAAGTAAATTTCTGTCATTTAACAGCTGTTATTTTACGGTAAATTTTTGTAATTTAACGTCTGCTATTTTGTGGTAAATTTCTGTAATTTAACGTATGCTATTTTACAGTAAATTTCTGTAATTTAACAGCTGTTATTTTACAGTAAATTTCTGTAATTTGACGTCTGCTATTTTGTGGTAGATTTCTGTAATTTAACGTATGCTATTTTACAGTAAATTCTGTCATTTAACAGCTGTCATTTTACGGTAAATTTCTGTAATTTAACAGCTGCTATTTTACGGTAAATATCTGTAATTTAACATCTGCTATTTTGTAGTAAATTTCTGTAATTTAACGTATGCTATTTTACAGTAAATTTCTGTCATTTAACAGCTGTTATTTTACGGTAAATTTCTGTAATTTAACGTCTGCTATTTTTTTGGTAAATTTCTGTAATTTAACGTCTGCTATTGTACAGTAAATTTCTCTAATTTAATGGCTGTTATTTTATGGTAAATGTAATTTGACATCTGTTATTTTATGGTAAATTTCTGCACTTTAACATTGCTATTTTGTAGTAAATTTCTGTAATTTAACGTCTGCTATTTTGTGGTAAATTTCTGTATTTTAATGTCTGCTATTTTGTGGTAAAGATCAGTAATTTAACATCTATTATTTTGTGGTAAATTTCTGTAATTTAACAGCCGTTACACCCAAGCTGCTGGAAAAAAAAGAAAGTAAAATAACAATAATTTTTACAGTGCAGCTATAGGACAATTTGCAACAAAAAATATATATATATGGACATTGAAGATTTGGGCACATTTACTTGTAACTTTTTTTACTTTTTCAAATGATGTTTAACAGAGAAAGGAATTTTTCACAGTATTCCCTATAACATTTTTTCTTCTGAAGAAAGTCTGATTGCATTTAAAAAAAAAATTGTTAAAAATTTTTTAAAATTTTTTTAAAAAGTCAATATTATTAGCCCTCTTACGCAATATAGATGTTTTTGATCATCTACAGTACAAATCGTTGTTATAGACCATTTTAAGGGATTTAAACTATAACAATGGTCCTAACATATTTCCTGTTATACATTTTTAATTTCCATAGCTTCGGAAATTCAAAAAGCTTGACATATTAATAAATAATATTATGATTGGATTGCTTTTTTTACAGTTATAAAATAGTTTGACAATAAACAGCAAATTTTCATGGGACAATGGCATCACCAAATTAAAATGGTCTATACCAGGGGTGTCCAAACTTTTTCATATGAAGGGCCAAAAACCAAGTATCATTGAAAGCCATGGGCGAAAGATAAATAAACCATACTGTTTTGAGTCATATTACCAAATGCGATATAGATTTATTAATTATAACTATTGCAATAAAAACATAAACAATCACATTTATAACACAGTGGAGTTCAAAGCTAAATTCAGTAGTCAAGCAGAATCTCCCTTTGCCCTGATTTGCTCCCCAAAGACCTCTATCTTTCGGATGACAGTATGCACATTTTAAACTAAATCTGATTAATTGACACCATTTAAATTGAAATGTTTAATTCCAGTAAGCTTTTTTTGTAGCTTAACATTAATACAAACAAATAAATTATCACATTCAATTCGAAATGACAATCTTTAAACCATCCCCATCGTAAAACTTTGAGATGCTAATGGTCTAATACAATTCAATGATTTATGCTAAGCTAAGCTAACTGTGCTCTCACCAGATCCTGGCGATAGACCGAATGGATAACAATCTCTAAACCATTCCCATCATTCTTCTTCTTCTCAGATGGGATTGTGAGCCAAATCAAAGGTTACCATCTTGCCAACTTTGGTCCGTGGGCCCTAGTTTGGGCATCTCTAGTCTATACAATGACTTGACTTATTACTCTAGCTTGCCTAAATAAACTAATAAACCAAGTTAAGCCTTTAAATTGCAGTTTAAGCTGAATACTAGTGTCTTGAAAAATATTTAGTAAAATATTATTTATAATTTATATAAAAGAAACCAGTTATTAGAAATGAGTTATTAAAACTATTATGTTTAGAAATGTGTTAAACAGAAATTGTGGAAAGTATAGAGGGGGCTAATAATTCAGACTTCAACTGTATATATTTTTTATATTCACCATTAGTTAGTATAAAATAGTATACAAATGCTGCATTTCTGAACAGTAGTGTGTATTTATGTTCTTAAAACATACCTTATAGTTTCACTTTCATAATAAATGATGACCTGGGAGTGTTTTTGGCAGTCAACCTTTCACCACGTTATCTTGTATCCAGCAGATACTGTCCTAAGCAGCCTGGAATGCAGCGTTTAGCCAGTAGAGGACAGTGTTGCTCTTCATGACTGGAGGAAATCTGCATCACAGCTGTTGCTCTTATGCTTTATAAAGACAAATGCTTTTCAGCTGCAGAGCGAGATTCTCTTCTTACCTCGTGAAATTAAAGCTGAAAACTGCCACAGACATGCTGCTTCCTCAGAGCAGCCACCTATCAGATGTGAATCAGCATTCTAAAGAGAGACAAAAAAGTTTATTAATCTACAAGTTTGCCTCCTTTTGGTTACAGATCCTTATTTTCTGTGATTCAAAAGAACTGCAGTCTTGCCAAGGGCAAGGCGGTAGTGTTTTCTCCGTAAATGTCCAAATTGAGCTGACTTTGATAAACATAACATGCGATAAACATGAGGTCTTTGATTGTAGGTTAGAATATTCAATTGCTGGTAAGTGGTGATGCTGTAAGAAGATGCTTAACGCAAATGTGAAGATCAAAGGATATTAGAATGCTGATGCACATGCAGTCGTGTTGATTCGCATTATAGAATGCAAGTCTTTTGGAATCTCGACTCCTTGCTACTACTGTCTGGGTCAGTTGGCATTTCTGTGTGGAGTTTGTTCTCCCTGTGCTCTTGTGGGTTTTCTCCAGGTGCTCCGGTTTCCCCCACAGTCCAGAGACATGCGGTACAGGTGAATTGAAAAAGCTATATTGGTCGTATGCATGTGAATGCAGGAGTGTATGGATGTTTCAAAGTGTTGGGTTGCAGCTGGAAGGGCATACACTGTGTAAAACATATGATGGATAAGTTGGCGGTTCATTCCATTGTGGCGACCCCGGATTAATTAAGGGACTAAGCCGAAAATAAAATAAACGAAAATGAAATAGGTGCCCAAATATTGCACACATTTATGCTAATTACTTTTAAACCATAAGGGCTAGAAACAATTTCCCCCCTCTGATTCTTTGAGCTCATGCCAATTCGATTGCATCCTATGACGTAAATTGCCATCATAATTATAAAAAATATGTCGGCGCCAATAGCCTAGTGGTTAGTGCGTCGATACATAGCACCAAGGTGCTCATGGCGACCTGAGTTCGATTCCTGGCTCAAGGTCCTTTGCCGATCCTTCCCCTATCTCTGCTCCCCACATTTCCTGTCTGTGAAAAATCTCCACTGTCCTATCCAAATAAAGGTGAAAACCCCTAAAAATTAATTATAAAAAAAATTATAATTATAAAAAATAAACAAATCTACGTTTTTGAACTCCTCCTAGGCTGTTTGCCTAATTGTTCACAAAGTTACATGAGGCCTCTGTTGCCCAGCATATTTAGTTCCAACTTCCTTCAAAACAATATATATATATATATATATATATATATATATATATATATATATATATATATATATATATATATATTTTTTTTTTTTTTTTTTTTTATGTGTTGTCAAAAACACAGTTCTTGTAAAATAAGTAGCTTGACCATTTTTGATTTTTATCAATTGTTTATTGTTTTTAGTCATTTACTTAAATGAATCAGAAGATCTAAATAATACCAAAAAACGAGTTCCTCATAGCAGAACAAAATATCTCCTAAATGCTTTGGCCGAAATTCTCAAAAATGGTCTTGTTACGTTCAGAGTGCCGTCATGTTTTATCACATCAAAGGCTGATTCAGAGTACAAGATATGGCAGCAGGCTCTGTAATAGTTTCGCATAATATATTTAAAAACATTCCTAACCATCAAATATGAACCATTAAAACCACTACATTTGTATGCTTTACAATGAGTTCTGAGACATGTTCAGTTAGGGTTGAAGAGAACCTGAAGGGGAACAAATCTCCAGGAGATACCCAACAGGACTAATATAGTTTCAATTAAAAACAGTATAAGCTATAATAACATTATAAATTCTATGATGGTTTCTATTGTTTTTTTTTTATTTGTAGGCTACATGGACACAAGTCATTGTGTCAGATTATGTGAGTATGTCTCCCAAATTCTTGCCCTGTCACCAAAAATAAAACAAAACGAAACAAAATATCAGATTCAAATTTCTT